ATTACGATTTTGCGCAGCGACCGTGGCCCGCGAGCACGCTTCATTTCCTCCCCTGTTCCTCGCGATCGAAATCATAGGCCGATCAGCGGCTGTGGTCGAGGGTTGGATCGCGCCCGGGTATCTACGCCCGAGCATCAACCGCCGGCGGTATTAATTTTTCACAGAGATAACAGCAAATTGGACTCCTCGCCGTGTATCCTTGACGAAATACTCGCAGCCACGTAACTAGATCGCGCGATCTTCAATTTTCCAACCCGCGATAGATTCGATCTTCGCCCGGCTTCGTGAGATTAGGCTCCATCGTCGAGCAAAACGATTCAATCTGCCGTCTGGCGCTTTTTTTATTCATCGACGAATGTTGCGCGAATATACACATATAATATATTAACGATTACAAATCAAAACCACTTAATTTACTTTAACAATAATTAATTGCTTACTGTGTTTAATAAGTTGATTATAGAAATCAAAAGTAAATCAGTGATTTTCGATTAACTTTTGTCACTTTTAATCGTTAGTCAGTAATTTTCAAATCATTTTAATCATTGAATGATTAATTTATATTTTATTGCGATCTGCGACGTGTTACTTCTGTTATTGCCATAACAGATCCAGACGTGTTGATCACGTAGGGTTGCGCTATTCAATGTAACTAGGTGTTATTACTGGAAGCTGCTTGCAGTTTGAGTAATAGATCCAGTAATAAACCTAAGGCTAGAATGATTGTTGAATTTATAATAATTTGTCAAAGTTTATAATTCTCGGATGTTTGATATGTTTTTGACATCAGTGTATCACAATAAAGAATCTCAAAATTTTGATCATTCAAGTTTATTATTCAAAGTCCATCTTCATCAAGTCATGTGGAAAAATTGTGCCAATAACGATTCAACAATTATGCAAATGAAATTCGATTATACTGCACATTACAAAACAATGCAAATAATAATGTAGTTTCTACAAAGCTCACAAAGTATTCTTGATGAAAGTAAACAATTTTAATCAAAAAATGCAATTATTTTACAATTAATAATATTTTATCAAATATCTCCTTTCTTTGTAACCCTTCATACAACCTATATATACACAAAAGTTTATAAAATTATATCAAATGTTAAAATTTTAGAAATATAACATTTCTAAAAGAATATATTAACATTATGTTCTTTGAAAAGAAAAAAATTATCGTAACATTTATTGTGTTTCGTTGAAAAATTTTGGGAACGAAAAACGAGAATCCTGCAAAATGTATGCTCACTCGCCAATTCTGTTTAAAAATTCAATTTTACCACAGGCATATTCTTTCGCTCCACATTTTAAAATCTAGAAAGTTACCTTCTCTCTCTTCGTCCGCGATAAATATTTGAAAAGAAAATGGAACGCATAAATACCATAAATACCTGAAAGAGAGGGCGAAAAAAAAAAAAACGAGGGAGGAAAGTCTCTCTTTGTATCGAGACGAGGCAACGCGGCCGATTCGAGCCGATTCGTTCGAGCGTGGCATTAAAATTAATAACATTTCAGCCGTGCGTTATGGTCGTTATTACCGTGGCAGGTGGCGTGGCGTGGCACCCGTGTGCACTCGTAGTTACGATGGTTTGATTTCGCGTGACCGGTCGATATTGAACTGGACACCCGTACAAATACAAAGCGTACGTACGTACGTACGTACGTATGCTCGGTACTCGTCAGGCCGGTCATGCTTTCTATGCATAGTCTAGACCCGAGATTGTCTGGATATCCGAATACTAATTCGATTCGATGCTCGTCGACCGGTTGCTCCGAGATTGCTCGACGGATATTGGAATCTGCGCGAGTCTACGTTACACTGGTCGCTCGATGGAACACGAATACCAAGAGGAAGACACTGTATCCAAAATGTCCGCCAACTATCCGTAGACTATTCGCTCGATGCAAGCAGCATCAATCTCTTTTCTTCTTCTTCCTAACAGTTTTGAGTTGAACTGTGCCAAAATATATTTCTCAGCTTTCTGAAGCTTATTATATAGTTACGAAAATATTTATTACAACAGAAAAAGAAAATAACTTCATTCGTGTTAAAAATATACCAAAGATAACCAGTTAACCTCTTGCGCTGGAATGACGTGCGGACGTCGAGAATTTTTTCTCCCAAAATTGCAACATTTTCTCAGTTTTAAGTATATTTAAATGTAACCCGGGCAAAAGAAATGACAAGCCAAATTGCTTATTAATAATTATCATTAAAGTTAATTATTATTACAATTTATTACTTTATTAATAATTTCTATCCAGTGATATCACACCGACGAGTTTCAAAACAAAAGAGAGCGACGAATTATCGTGTACGGTTCGGTCACTCGTTATGGTCCGCAATCAGTTGCCAGCGCCATGTGGTTCCTCTTGCGCTCGAATAACGTGCCACGTACGTCGAGAATTTTTTTTTCGTCCTAAATTGGAACATTTTCTCAGTTTTAAATATATTTGAATGTAACCCAGGCAAAAGAAATGACAAGTTTATTATTTATTAATAATTATCGTTAAAGTTTATTATTATTAATAGTTAATTATTATTAAAGTTCATTACTTTATTAATAATTTCTATCCAGTGATATCACACCGACGAGTTCCAAAACAAAAGAAAGCGACAAATTATCGTGTACGGTTCGGTCACTCGTTATGGTCCGCAATCAGTTGCCAGCGCCATGTGGTTCCTCTTGCGCTCGAATAACGTGCCACGTACGTCGAGAATTTTTTTTGTCCTCTTATTGCAACGTTTTCTCAGTTTTAAATATATTTGAATGTAACCCGGGCAAAAGAAATGACAAGTTTATTACTTATTAATAATTATCATTAAAGTTTATTATTATTAATAGTTAATTATTATTAAAGTTTATTATTATTAGTGGTTAATTATTATTAAAGTTCATTACTTTATTAATAATTTCTATCCAGTGACATCACACCGACGAGTTCCGAAACAAAAGAGAGCGACGAATTATCGTGTACGGTTCGGTCACTCGTTATGGTCCGCAATCAGTTGCCAGCGCAAGTAGTTAAACTTTCTCAGCGTGTTAAGTCCTGGTCTTGTCACGATTTACTGACACGAGTGTTTTATCGGCAGGTGGGGAAGAACAGATTTCGACGATGACTCGTCGAGCGAACGCACGCCGCCGCAGTGAGAATATCGTGACAATGGTAAGTCATTTTCTGATTATATCGCCGCCACGTGCCGGTTGATCACGCTTAGATTTCCCCGGCTGTTCGCTCCGGCCATTAGACGTACGTAAGTCGAATTGTCGCGGCCTTGGGCGAAAATCGAAGCAGTCGAGGAGCGAATAAAAGGAACCAAGGACGATTCGAATGTTTCTGGGATCGACCGTAGTGACTGGCGTGAACCTCGCGATCGTTCAGAGAATTCTTCCGCGTTCCACCGACGTAATTCGACTGAAAGTCGAGTGAAAAGATATCTGCCCGAAGGTGAGCGACGCAATCGCGGTGAAAATCCCTGGCGATAAATCGTTTCCTCGAAACGCAGTTCGCCGTAATGTTCGTCTTGGCGTGGAATTCCTTTCTTCTTGATGTCACTTAATGACGATCGTAACAGGAGTAATTAGGAATTGTTTCTCCTTCTTTTTTTTCTTCTTCTTCTTCTCCTTCTATTTCCATTGAAAATGAAGGAGTAGGAAACATAGCGACGCGGATAATGGGTTCTAAAGTAGCAGAGTCTCTCGTGTCGGTGGCTCTCGTGCCAATTACCGGCGTCTCACGGCGGCTGAATATAAAAGAGGGGCGCGGGAGGCGCGAATTGCCTGCCGCCGAAAGCGCGACGCTTTGAATCCATAATCGGAGCCGTCTGAGGCATCGGGGCGGTATTAAAACCGCGGCCGCGCGAACAATCAACGCGAACGTTCCCCGCCGCCTTTGAGGGAAACAGAGCTGTTGATATCGAGTCGCTTTGAGCCCGCGGAGAAGACTCGCCGCGTGAATTTTAAGCACCGCGCGAGCGGAGTCGCCCGCGAATGAGGCGCTCCTGCGACAAATCGCAGAAAACTAATTTCGTTTCGCAAACTCGCCGGCCTCGCTCCCGCCTCCATCGCAATATCGTTCGCGTGAACTTCCGCCAGCCGGAAGAATTCTGCTTCGCGGTTGTTAAGGGTCGGTGCTTTGACCTGACGCGAGGATCACGTACGTCTGCGATATTTTAGAATCCTCGAGTAGGTAAATCCGATTGTGAGTAATATCTGTTGCGGACTTTTACACGTTTTTGTATATTTATGGATGTAACTAAATTCTATTTCATATATATATATGTTAAATTATATATATTATATATTATACTATTTTATATATATAATACTATTATATATATTAATAAATTTTTTAATTATCTAATAATTGAATAATTTAATGGCTGCAATATAACTGACTGTTATGCTACAAAGGTAGCGTAATCAATTGAATTTTAAATGAAATCTGGAATGAAAGGATTAACGAAATATATACTGTCGCATATACAAATTATAAATATAAAATTGGAATAAAAATGTTAAAATTTTTTATGGGATAATACCCTATAGAATTTTATATAAATTTATTTTCGTACTTAATATAAAATTTAAATTTACACTTAGTTGGGAGAACTATTAAATTTAACGAATTTTAATTTTAAGAAACTTAAATTAAAGAAAATAATTTAATCTTTAGTTTAAAATTAATAGAACAAATTATCTTAGAGATAACAGCGTTATATTTTTGAATAAAAATGTTAAAATTTTTTTATGGGACGCTAAGACCCCATAGAATTTTATATAAATTTATTTTTGTACTTAATATAAAATTTAAATTTACACTTAGTTGGGAATTTTAATTTTGAAAAACTTAAATTAAAGAAAATAATTTGATCTTTAATTTAAAATTAAAATAGAATAAACTACCTTAGGGATAACAGCGTTATAATTTTTTACAGATCTTGTAGAAAAAAATGATTAAACGACCTCAGACTCTCTATTGAATTAAGATTTTAAATGCAGAAGTTTAATTAAGTCTGTTCGACTTTTAAAATCTTACATGATTCGAGTTCAAATCGACGTAAGTCAGATTGATTTCTATCCTTTTTTTAAGAGGTTAAAATCAACAATGGCGCTTAATTTAACGATGGAACGGTCTCGCGTGACCGTTGGCTTTCGCCACTGATCGACTCATCGAGGACAAAGAATAACGAAAATCGCCAGTTGTTGAAACTGCGATCGTTGTCCGTTGGTGAGATCGTTGCCCGAGGTCGGTTTTCGTCGGAAATTAGCTAGCGTGTCTGCGAGATCTCATCCGAACGACAGATACAGTCCGTAGAAAACTAACAAGAGGCCGAGGCCTCTCATAACCGCCTTTCATCGATAGCTCCGACGCCTTTCTGCGAGAACGACGCCAATTTCGTGACCGTGAAATTTTCGTTCAACAAAATTCGCCGAGTGTGAAAACTATTTACTCGCCGGAGTACAAAAGCTTCGGGAACAGGTTGGCCGCGCGGAATCGCGTGACCAAACGACGCGGAATTGCTGAATTTCTATCCGCGCCATAGTCTGCATACGTCGCTGACAAACGCGTCACGCTGGGACGATTTTCTAATTCTTATTCGCGATATCGCGTGACCGTCGCTCGAATTCACATCATCGACTCCTTTTTTGGATCGAGCAAATCGACTGCTTTTAAGGGAGTATTTTATTTTCGAAGCGTTTATTTCGGTATCCTCTTTTTTACGCGGCAAGAATATACGCGCATGTCGTCCTCTCGGTGGAAAGCATAAAAACAACGATGAAAAATTATTTTAAACCTTGGAAAGAAAATTTCGTAAAAATCTGTTTAATTTGATCTGGTTTTGAAACGTGAAGCTTCTGCTTTGACTGTCTTAAGTTTGTTCTTTTTTAAATATCGTTACATCATGTAGTTTGGTAGGAATACTTTCATTCTTTTTATTCCAAGCAAGAATAGTTTTATTCTCAGAAATTGTCAAAATTCAATGTAAGATTTTTTGAAAAATTTTGTTGGATCCACCATGATCCTGAACATTGAAATTGTTTTCTTTACAATGGCCTCTTGAAATTGTTCGATTTTTTTATCTTTATAACATATACAATTTACATATAATAACATACACATAATAATTTACATATAACAACATATACATAATAATTTACACATAACAACATATACGTAATAATAACAGTATGATAATACTTTATATATACATATGATAATAATTGATTCTAATATCAATTATGCACAAATTGTTGAATTTCCTTTGTATCAGTTCATTGAACAACATATTACTCACAAATGTATGTATTTTTTCTACATAGTGCAATTTACATATAACAACATATACATAATAATTTACACATAACAACATATATGTAATAATTTATAATAACAGTATGATAATACTTTATATATACATATGATAATAACTGAGTCTAATATCAATTATGCACAAATTGTTGAATTTCCTTTGTATCGGTTCATTGAACATATTACTCACAAATGTATGTATTTTTCCTGCATAGTGCAATTTACATGTAACATGTACATAATAATTTATATATAACAACATACACATAATAATTTATATATAATAACATATACATAATAATTTAAATATAATAACATATACACAATAATTTATAATAATAACATGTACATAATAATTTAAATATAATAACATATACATAATAATTTATAATAATAACATATACATAATAATTTATAATAATATTACGATAATACTTTATATATAGATATGATAATAATTGATTCTAATATCAATTATGCACAAATTGTTGAATTTCCTTTGTATCGGTTCATTGAACAACACATTACTCACAAATGTATGTATTTTTCCTTTACGTATTATTTCATCTGCGCACATTTTACGTGCATAAACGCCGGCGTTCCGTTAATTGCATTCTCAGAAATCTGAATTTGCATGAGTCCGTTTGTCGTCACATGTTGTCACTTTCCGCCAAAGGAGCATGCACTTGTGCAGACAGAAATGAAAGGTTACCTGGTTCATGCCCTCACAAATGAAATCATTTTCAATGGGTCCGTAAGGGACGGTCGATTTTTCTGGACATTCAAGGAGCCCCCTTTGAGCGCGTGCACCCATTCCCATCTTACTCGCGTGAGCCCGAGGAGCAGTTGTGCGAGAAGAATCGCGTTGTGGTTCGCCCGTCATGTGTTTCGGATGTCCGGTACTCTTTTTGCCCTCATCGTCGCCCTCTCTCCTTTCCATTCTAAATCTGCTGGCCGAGTGAAATCGCTAGATCATCACCGGTGGCCGATGACGCCCGAAGCGGGAAGAATATCAGCCGGCAGCTGGCCAACCGAGATCACGAAACTCACGCTAAGTGCACGCACGTGCAGCACGAGGCCCTGCTGCATAATGCGGATAATGCGTTCTTGCAACATATGGAGAGGCGAGAGGACGCACGTGGGTTGCCACACTGACCGCGCGACACGAAATCGCGCGGTTTCTCGACTTTGCGTCCGAGATTAACGCTGCCGGTTTCGATCCTGTTGATCATTCACCGGCCTGCAATCATCTCTCGAATAAAGGGAACGAAATTCTCGACTCGATCGCGGTCGATTTGCTCGAGAGGCCTTGCGATTTAGAAAGTGTGAAAATTGCCATTGAACTTGAAATTCCGACGCAAGCTACGTGAAACTGCCATTCTGAGAAAACGGATCCTCTCATTGCCACCGTGCGCGGGATTCTGTACGACTAACTGTCGTTATCATTAGACCACGGAGTTTTATATGCAACCTTGTAATTAAAGAAATTTGATAACAAGCGACATTTACATCCGTAGTATTGTAAATAATTTGTAATGGAATTAATAATTTATTGAATGTATAGTTTCAAAAAATACTATGTTAATAATATGAAAATATTTAAACAATTTTAAATATATACTTTTTAAATATATGCAATATGCAATTTTAAATATATACAATATACAATTTTAAATATATATAATATACAATTTTAAATATATACGATATACAATAACAATTTAAATATAAATATATACAATATACAATTTTAAATATATACCTTTTAAATATATACAATATACAATTTTAAATATATACAATATATATCTAAAAATTTTTAATAATTTAAATTTTAATTTTTATATTATATTAAAATTTTTAATAATTTAAATTTTAATTTTTATATTATATTAGAATTTTTAATATTTTATATATAATATATATGATATATTATTATTATTGTTCACATATTTTTCTTAAATATTTAAATAGCTAGTATTAATGAAATATTAATGAACATAATATTGATGAAAATTTAAATATATATATATATATTCTATAAGTATATATTAAAATATATATTTCTTTTATATATAATATATATAATATATTATTATTATTGTACACATATTTCTGTTAAATATTTAAATAACTAATATTAATGAACATAATATTGATGAAATTTTTAAATATACATATATATATATTCTATAGGTATATATTAAAATATATATATATTTTAATATATACGTATAGCAGCATATATACCAAAAATATGTGTACAATAATAATAATGACCATAAGGAAATAAATATACATCTTTTTAAATTTATTTAACATTCAATATCGAGAGAAATACAAATATATTTGAAATCAGCATAAAAGTACAACACGTATGTATAAAAAAAGTGCAGGAATAAAATTGACGAGTATCCATGTTTACTAAAGTCTTGCTGTTACACGTGCCTGAATGCCTTTGGCACCGAGCATCCTCTGTACATTATGGCGGTCAAATTGAAATTTCGTCAAAGTCTGTGGTGATTGACGTTCGCGGTGACCGCGGCGTGCCCAGAGGAAATTTTCGTGAAGCCTCTCCTCGATCCCTGGTGACAACGGTGGCAACGTCGATGATCCTTTTGATGTCGGGTCCCGCGTCGTCCAGCCACGCGCGCGCGGGTCCAACGCACCGCCACCGTGTCTCGTCTTCGACAAACGAGAATAAAATATACATGAGTCTCTTTTTCCGAAATATTCAAATCTCCGTCACCTCAGATCAAATAACTGGCGGGGTATCGGGTCGCCCCGTGTTGGCCCCGAGGTGGTCTCAGGCCATGAATATCATGACTGACCAAACTTGGTTCCCATACTAGTCACGTTCTGACGATTCCCGTAAGGTGTGGTCCGCAGAGTCGGTTTCCGGAAATCAGGCTATCGGGTTTCGCGCCAGCTCGTCCCGCTACCTGGCTGGTAGTTTCCGTTTGGAACTACCAGCGCCGCGTGATACATTTCAAACGAGCCTTGCGAACGCGCACCGTGAAACACCGTCGATCGCCATTAATTTGTCTTTCGGCATTAACCGCCTGTCTCTGATAACTGCCCGAGGGAAATTTGACATTCGATGGTGATGGTTTAAAAAGCTGGAAGTGAGGCTGTAGCATTAGGAGGAAGGTGTATATACAAGGTGTATATACAGTGTTTCGTAACTTGTGTGACCCACTTCGGAAGCTGATTGCACGCCTAAAACTAATGAAAAAAACGTCATATAAATATATGTCCTATCTGTCTTCGTTTATGAGATATAATAAATTTTATAAACAGAGCAAACTAGCTCTAGTAAACTAGCTTTACCAGAGATGGTATATTCAATTTTCATAATAATCATAAGTGGGATGAAGGAAACATGTTATTGTGCATTCAAGACATCAACACCAGTTTAGTTTAAATGTATGTACGGGCAGGAATAATTGATAAATTTTTAATTGGATCTTTTTCTCTTGATGGGAAACTAACAGGCACAAAGTACGTTGATTTTTTGAGCACGCGAAATATTAGAGGAAGTTCCAGTCGATATTAGACTTCGTATGCGGTTTTATGCATGATGGAGCTCCGCCGCATTTTAGCCGAGTGGCTAGTCAATTTTTCAATCAACACTTTGCAAATAAATGGATTGGTCGTGGAGGTCCTAATGCATGGTCTGCTCCTTCTCCGGATTTGTATCCATTAGATTTTCATTTGTGGGAACATTTAAAATCTATTGTATTGAAAATGCTGAAATACTACGAAATA